GGGGGCAGTGAGAACCAGCAGAGAGGCTGGCCTTTGCCTATTTGACAGGGGCTGGAAGGACAGAGTCCCAACTTGTGGCGACCCAATTCTGGATGATTAGGGTCAGAGAAAGTGCCACACAGGTGGCTGGTGTCAGAAAGATGAAGTGGGAAAATAGGGATATGAGTTATCTTCACATTTTGTTAGCCTTAACCAAAAAACAAAACAAAACAAAACAAAAAAAAACAAACCTGTCGCTGTTGAGTTGATTCCAACTCATAGCAACCCTATAAGACAGAGCAGAACTGCCCTATAGGATTTCCAAGGAGCAGCTGGTGGCTTCGAACTGCTGACCTTTTGGTTAGCAGCTGAGCTCTTAACCACTATTCATGCAACATCTTACATTACACAAGATGGACCCCACAACAAAGAATTATCCAGCTCAAACACTGCTAAAGTTGAAAAACCCTGATCTGGAGCAGGAGTAGCCTAGGCAGAGGGGACAGCAAGGAAAAACGCCCTGAAACCTTTCAGTGATGCTGTAAAGGTTCTATTCTGTGCTGCCCAATATGGCAGTCTCCATCCACACGTGGCTACTGAGCATTTGAAATGTAGCTAGTGTGACTAAGGAATGGAATTTTAAATTTTAATTAAAGTTTAAATTTAAAAGCACATGTGGCTGCTGGCTTTTGGACAGTGCAGACATACAGCCTTCTAGGCTACATGGAAGTCCCTAGGTGGTACAAACGGTTAATGCGCTTGGCTGCTAACCAAAAGGTTGGAGATTGGAGTCCACCCAGAGGCACTTCAGAAGAAAGGCCTGGCAATCTGCTTCTGAAAAATCAACCATTCAAAATGCTATGATATTTCCAGCAAAATGGCGCTCTAGGCAGAAACACCATGCCGTCCCTTCACAGCAAAGATCCGAAAAACTAAGCTGAACAGAGAAAACAACAATCCTGAAACCCTAAAACATCAAATGAAGAGATAAAGAACTCAGCCAAGCACCAAACGTAGTGAGAAAACTGAC